AAATCTTTTCTCCTTTAATCTGGGTGTTGGGTATTCTTTTTCCTCAGCAAAGAGAAGTGTAACTAAGACAGCTAATTTCTTAAAAAGATGAATACATCAATCAAGCTCTAGCAGGACTTATTGATACAAAAAACAAAGAAGAGACCAATTATTAAGAATAAGAGAAATAACCACTTCTGGTCCCACAGACATTAAAGGATAATAAGGGAGTATTATGAATAACTTAGTCAATAAATTTGATGTTACAGAAATAAATTCATTAAAACTATAAAATACCAAAGCTCACTCAAGAATTAAATAGGAATAGCTCCATATCATTATAAAAATTAATTTGTAGTACACATCTCCCCACACACATGCAAAGAACTTTAGGCAGGCCTAGATGGCTCCTTAATTTCAAGAATCTGAGGAAACACTGGTAACTACAAAACTTCTCTGTCAGGGAAATATTGCCCTGATACCCAAACCATACAACAATACTGCAAAAAATAAAAACTACAGCCTATTATCCTCTATGAACAGACACAAACTTTCTTAAATGGCAAAGAGATCTAAGATACAGAAATTCTCATCCATCATCTCCAAATGGGGCTTCTCCTGGAAATGCAAAGCTGATTAAGTATTCAAAAATCAATTAACATAATTCACCATATTGACAAACTAATGAAAAAATCATATAACCATATGAATAGAGGCAGAGAAAGCATTTGACAAAATTCAGCATCTAATCATAGTAAAAGCAAGAACTAAGGGATCTCCCTAAAGCTGATAAAGAGCGTCTATAAAACTCTTACAACTTGCATTGTACAAAAAGGTGAAATATTGAATAGTTTTCCCACATAATTGGGAATGAGGTGAGAATATTCTTTCTATACAACGTTATACTGTGGGCTTCATCAGTGTGAAAAGCCAAGAAATAGAATAAAAGAACATATTGGAAAGAAAGAAACTTTGTTTGTAAAAGACACTGCTATCAACGTAGAAAATCCCAAACAGTTGAACCAGAACTTGACACTAGAATTAAAAAGTAGTTTAAAAACTGCAAATTCTGTCAATATACAAAAATCAGTCATTTCTGTTTATTAACAGTGAATAATTGGGAACTAAAATAACAAACATTATATACTAAAGATATGAGATATGTAGGTATAAATTGTACAAATAATTGCAAGATCAGTACAATGTTTTTGCTTTGATAATGGGGATTGAATCCAGAGGCTTTACAATGAACTACATTCTCAACATTTTAAAAGTATTTTTAAAATTTTGAGACAGGGTATTATTAGGTCACTAAATTACCTAGTCTGGGCTTAAACTTGCGATATTTCTGAATCAGTTTCCCAGAATGCTGGGATTAAAGGCATGTGGCACCATGTCTGGTTAACAAGATCTGTATACTGTAAACTACAATATACTGATGAAAGGAATCAGGAAGACATTAAATGGAGAGACATAACATATTCATGAATTGGACAACTCGCTATTATTATGATGTCAATTTCCTCTAAATTAATGTAGGCATTGTAGGAAATTTCAATTAAAATTCTAATGGCATATTCTTGTAGCAATAAACATACCTTCTCTAAAATTTATGTGAAATGTTATAAAATGAGCAGAATAGCTGAAGTAACTCTGAAGAAGGAAAATTTGGAGGACTAATTTCAAGACCATTACCAATTTTAAGAATTATTATAAAGCTACAGTAATCAAGACAGTGCAACATGAATGAAAGCACAAGAATATAAATCAGTGGAATAGCACATGGAGTACAAAAGAGATCCACATATACAAGGCTGATTGATTTTTGATAAATGTGCAGTCAAGAAAGGATCGTCAGTTCAGCTTATGGTTCTACAACTGGATATTTGCATACAAACATAACTCCTAATCTATACTTTACACCATACTAAAAAACCAAACCAAAACAAAACAAAACACAACAAAACCTCAAAATAGAATGCAGGGCTGAAAGTAAATCCTAAACTTTTGAAACCTCTAGAAGGAAACTAAGAAGAAAAATCTTCATGACTTTGGGTGAGACAAAGACTTCTTGGATATGACACCAAAGCACTACCCATAAAATGCTATAATAAAAATGATATATGATGATACAACCAGGGATTTTTTTGGTACTGGGAATTGAACTCAGGACCTTGTGCTTGCAAGACAGGCATCCAGCTGCTGAGCTATATCCCCAGCCCTATATATATGGTGATATAATAAAAACTAAGAATTTAAGGTTTCTGAAAGATACCCAGAAAACAATGAAAAGATGAAGAAATATTTGCAAATCACGTGTGATAAAATACTATATCTAGAATACGTAGAAATCTCTTGATACCAAATCAAATAACCTATGCAAGCAAACTATTAGAATGCAGGCAAAGGACATGAATGAGTGGTCCACCAACAGAGACCAACGGATGACAAGCACATAAAAACAGTGGACATTATTTCCTATGAGGGAAGTAAGTTAATACTGCCGGGGCGCCATTACACATGTGCTAGTGTTAGGAAAACTGGAAATCCCAAGTGCTAGGGCAGTTGCAGCGAAGCTGGGACTTGTGCAGGTAGAAATGCTTATGGCCAGCCCTCTGAAGGGCAGCTGGGTACCTTCTTACAGACACACCGACTGTGTGACCCAGTTGCCCCACCCTGGGCGTTTACTCAAGTGAAAAATTGTGTTCACACAAAAATCTACATGCAAATCTGTAATAGTGGTTAAAAATGGACAGAATACAAACACGCCCCTTGATGAGGGCATAACCAAGCAGTATTCCATCTACAGAAGATGGCTCAGCCGTAAAGAGAAGTGAATTAGCGATGAACTCAGTAACGTGGATGGCACTGAAGTACATTACACTGCGGGAAGGAAAGCTGCGTCCTGCCTCATTTCATTTCTGTGACACTCTGGGAAAGGCGATGCCATGCAAATAGAAAGTTGTGCTGGGGTTTGAGGAGAGTTTGCTACATGGGTCTGGGGGAGTGTTTGGGAGACCAAACTGCTTCAAAGCTTGTCTGTGGGAGTAGACACATGAATATGCACATTTGCAGAGCAGTACACTCAAAAGGGTGAATTTTACTATATGTAAACCATACTATAATAAAAAGGAAAGAAAAGATGTATGAGAAGAGACATTATTCCTTCCTCTCCGATCTCACCTTCTGCTTCCTTGGCTTATGCTACTCCAGCCCAGGGAGCTCCAGCTATTCCTCACATCACCAGACACACCTCTACCTCAGGACCTTGGCCTGGCTACATTTTTCATGTGGGGACCACTCTTCCTCTAGATGGCTGCTTGTCCCCGTCCCTTACTACCTTCTTCAAGTCACCTTCTTGATGAATTTATGTGAAACTGCAATCTGACTTTGCCCGTAGGTTCAGGACCTGCGAGGTGTACACTTCCTTGATTCCCCCACCTCTCAATTCAATTTTTTCCATATCATTTTTCATTCTATTATATATTGTATGATGCCTATTGTTGATTGGCTATTTCCCCTGTTAGCCAGGTCTTTAACACTGGTTCCCAGTTGTTTCCTGACATCTGGAAGAAAGTCTGGCACACAAGAACTTTCGCAACGGAGAGGGGATGTGTTCAAGGAAACCTCAGCTCTACCTGGTCTTTGGATGCACTGCCCACCAACTCACCTAGACCCTGGCAGGCTGCTCCCTGCCACCTTTACCCCAGAAGCCAGCTTTTCAAGCATGTTTTGGGTGATTTGCGGGAGTGGACCTCCTCTATCAAGCAGGTCCTTGGGCCAAGCTGCCTGAGAACTTGCATTCCTGCATATCTGGGCTTTGGTTAGATAAAGAAGATGCAAGTTGGCTTATCCTAGTGAAGTTCCCTGGGACCAGGGTATGTGCTGGGGACAAATTTTAAGCTCTGGGAGCAAAGAAAGGGCTTGGCATCTTCTCTGAGGAGGAGGAGGAGGCATGGAGGCCACATCTCTGTAGTTCCTGCTGTGGGCTGGGTTATGTCTCCTCCTCCCCTCAGTCCAAACATTGAAGCCCAGTCTCCAGAGTGTCTGTGTTGTGCGTCCATGTGGGCAGATTGGGGAGTGATTATGTAAGATGAGGTCATGAGGTGGGACCACATGATGGGATTACTGGCCAAATACTGGAGAGGTACTCCTCTCCATCCTGTAAGGTGTACCTCACAGGGCTTGAACCTGCGTTGCTACCCCCAAGCCTCAGAAGCAAATGCATTTTTAAACCTATGAAAACAACTTGAGCACTTTTAGCAAACACCCACAGAAGGGAGCTTTTCCCTGGCTTAGATGCAACTTGAGGTGTGGCTGAGGATAGATAGGAACCCTCTTCATGTGACAACTGTGAGGGACCAGGGGACCAAGTGCACAGGCAGCTACCAGTACACTTCTAGAGGCAATCATGTAGATCACAAGTGCCCATTTCATGGGAATCCACCTGGGGTAGAGTCCTTGCACAACAGAGTCTGCTTCGTGCCCCTGTGGAGAAGCATCTGCACTGGCAGGGGTCAGAGGGGGCCTATGGGCCTAGGAGGGTGGAGCTGGCCCTACAATATGGTGGGTCACTGGGGACCTGGGAGGAGCCTTCCTCTCCCTGTGTTCCTATAAATCTCTGCAAGATCCTGGTGGCTGTGTCCTCACCATCTGGTCCTGGGCAGCAAAGCTCAGAGCAGCAGGTGGATAGTGTGTCTGTTCATCTGTCTGGCTATCCACTCATTCACTGGCCCAGCCTGGTGTGACCCATGTCCATCTACACCTCTTGTCCTCATGAGCAGTCAGCAGCCATGTGCAGGGCGAGGCGGAGCCCATGGTCCAGTCACTCCCACCTCCTCTACTTTGCCAAGGACAGTAGCATCACAACTACCCCAAAACCCTCCCTAGGTGCTTCTGCCCAAAGTGCAGAAGGCCTTGCTGCTTGCAGGGCGCACTGTCTTGGAAGGAGGAGAGCTGTGGTGCCTGGGTAGGAGGAAGGGTGTCGTGGACTCCCTCATGTCTCTGGGGACTAAGCTGACCTGGGTTTGAAGGACGTGGTTGATGACCCTCTGTTAGCTGCGCGGTGGCTGTGTGGCTTTTCAGAGTGCTGCCTGTCCATGATCGGGGTGCAGTTTGGGAGCTCAGAGCCCAGACATAAGCTCTGTCCTCACACCTGGCTCGTTAGCTCTGTCTCTGGGCACTGCTTCTCCCCGCTCTGGCCAGCTCTGATCTCATCCTTGAGGTCACAATGGTCCCAGTGCCCACAGTTCTTTCCGGGAGCCAACACTGTTCTGGAGATGGTGTGTGTGCATGTACAAGCTTGTGCCTGGACAAGTGCTTGTGGATGTGTGTCCCCAAGAGGCCTTCCACGTCCCTTTCCTTCTCTGGGTCTCAGTTGTTTCTTATGAGACTAATAGATCTAGACTGGGCATTTGTTTGATGGACCTGGGCTCCTGTGCCAATGGCATTTCTTGAGGCTCGAACTGAATCTGACTTTCAGGGCCCTGGTCTGAGAATGGAGGTGCTGAACTCCTCTCAGGTTTTGCTGTGAAGTCTCCACATCCTCTCCAGCTATAAAAATTGGGAGTGAGCACAGCCAGGGCTTCTGAGAGGGCAGCTGACAGGGAAGGCTGCCTGGACTCAACCCAGCCCACTCTCACTGGCCCTGTGGCCCAGTACCAGCCTATTTGTGTAATGAGAGCACAGCTGCCCCAGCTCCTGGACTGCTCGGAGGGTCTGTAAAAGGAGGGACGCTCTGAATGGTGTCTTTGGGGTTGTGATTTCCAGCACCAGGATAGTAGGCAAACCAGATGCCTAGTCCAAGTTCATCTCAACAAAATGATGTCACTACTGGCTGACAGTGACAACCACATGGAGATGGAGCCTTAGCACTCAGCCTTGGGCACCCTGGACTCATATTTACCTCAAACTACGAGAAGCCTGGAAGGAAGCTGCACAGGGCAGGGTGGTACTGCTGCTGAGCAGGTCAGGGCCACCCAGGCTGAGGGGCAGGGAAATGTGCTAGCAGCTCAGGGCCATGAGGAGGTTTGTCTGCTTCTGTTGAGCAGTCAGAACCAGGCCAGGGGACCAACCTGGGGCCCTGAGATTGGCTGGGAGAGAAAAGCCAGAGGACAACCTGCTGTGTAGCTAGATTCTGGCTGGAGCTGAATCCAACCTAGACACGTAGACACCTAGACACACTGAGCTGACTGCTCAGGTGTGTGAGCTTATTCCCCTATTATCTCTGTGAGGTCATTGCTTCTGATCCCATCCGTGTGGGTAGAATGTTTAATAATGGGGTTCTCATATATCCTGCCAACTCCCTAGTCCAGAGCATCTCACAGGGCCTTGAGATCAGCCCTGGTGAGGCATTTACACCACAGGGCTTGGCACACAGCACCTGTCAGTGGCGACTGGGTTGATAACACAGACTGATTGGCCAGTTGGGTCCTTTCTCTGGGAACTTGCATGCAGAGCCAGAAGTGAGACTTTGGGATCAGAATCGTGAACTCCATGGGCTGCCACAACACTTCTCTTAGAGCAGGAGGTACAGAGGAAGGAGGCTGAGGGGCTGTGTTGTCTAGCCTGGGGTCTTCCCATGATGTCTGTTTGGCCCTAGTGGCTTCCAACATGCCCTCTGCTGACTTGCGCCTAGGTTAAGGTGAGGTAAACTTTCTGCAAGATCATCTGGTTCCTTAAGAAATCACATTTTAAGTGTGACAAACTAGCAAACCAGAGGCAGGCACGATGAAAGTGGACAGAATAGTCAAGTAGCCTTCTCTCCCTATATATCTCTAGGAGACTGCTAAAGCATATTTTGAACATAATGCTGGGAAAGAAGGGAGAGGTTTGACTTTGAAGCAGGCAAAGGAGACCTGCTGAGACCTGAGGTCTGATCTGTCTATCTCCTGTGACTTCTCACTTTATCTGAGATGGTAGTGTTAGGGTTGCAATGGTCATTGCTGGGTCACTTCTGAGGGTCACAGACTGCCCACCTTGTGACCACAGAGGGAAGATGAGGTCCTTGGAATGTCTGGGATTCACTCCTGGGATACCAGCACATTTTGGTGAAGCAGGAGCATTTCCTTCCCTTCCCTGCCTCAGTGTCTCCCGCCTGATTCCTAAGCTTTCGGGAAGAGCCAGAAGGTGGCGCTGTGGCCCCAGACAGGAACCTGGCTGTGGGAGGGCTGCAGCTGGAAGGATGCATGGCGGGGGCCTGGAACACAGCAGAATGTGCTGCTATCCAGCCCTGGAGTTCCCCCAGCAACCTGCTTCCCCACCCAGTGCACCCTCCACCAGCCAGGGGCCAGCGGAGGGGGGATGGTGGGGAGGACATCCTTAGGTTGGACCCGGGGGTACTGGGCACTGATTCCATGCTGTGCCTTTGCAGGTCCCTTTCCTCTGGCAGAAGACAGCATGGCCCAGGCCAAGGCAACCCCCAAAACCCTGTCCCCTGCTCCTCCCGACTTCTCAGGTTCCAGGCTCAGCAGTGTCAGCTCTCCAGGCTTATTGTGGGCCATGCCTCCCTCCAGGAACGCACCTCCCCTTCTTAAGGACATTCCTTGAACTATCCTTTTTGACCCTGGAGACCCTATCCAGACCACCACTTCTGTGAGGCCACCCCTGATTTCTTTGACCTTCACAGCGTATTCTTGCTGAAGTTCCTTCAGACGTGCTGATGCCATCTGGGAGGAGAGATGGCAGAGGCTGTGGCACTGGCTGGGGGTGACAAGAGGGGTGAGGCACAGGTTCCATCACCAGCTTGTCCCTTCCCAGGAGCACAGTTTGACCAGCTGACACCCTTCCAAAGACCTGAACTTAGACTTGAAACTGTCAAACTCCTGGAAGAAAACACAGGGAAGGTGGCTTGACATTGGTCTTGGCAATGATTTTCTGGATATGAAACCAAAAGCACAGGCGAAGAAAGCAAAAATAGACACGCGAGACACTATCCAACCAGAAAGCTTCTGCACAGCCAAGGCAACAATCAACAAAATGAAAAGGCAGTCTGCGGGCTGGGAGAAAATGTTTGCAAACCCTATAGGTGATAAGGGGTTAACAGCACAAATACAGAAAGCACTACTGCAATCAATGGCAGAAAACAAAATGACCCAATTAAACATGGCCCAAGGACTTGAGAAGACAAATGAAGGACAGGTCAGTGGGAGGGTGCTCACCACTGCTGACCACCAGGGAGCAGCAGCAAACCTGGAGGGAGCCCTTGCCTGACACCTGTTAGTGTGACTTTTATCCAAAAAACCAAGGTGGTGGGAATGTGGAGCAGGGGGAATCCTGCACCCTGTTGGTGGGAATGTAAATGGTGCATCTGATGCAGAAAAACAGTTCAGAGGTTCCTCAGAAACTTAAAAATAGAGCTCTCATCTGACCCACGCTGGGCATATATCCGAAGAATTCAAAATTGGGATCTTGAAGATGAGATTTCATCCCCACAGAAGCCTCAGATTCACACAGCCAGGAGGTGGAAATACTCTGTGTCCACTGAGGGAGACATGGAGAAGGAAAATGTGTCCATCTGTGCCATGGACTACTATCCAGCCTTAGAGAAGAGGCAGGTGGCCATCTTTAACAACCTGGTTGAACCTGGAAGACGTCGTGCTCAGTGAAATGAGCCATCACCAGAGACAAATATAGACTGATCTCACAGGGAGAATCCAAAATTGTCAACCTCAGAGACAGAGTGTAAGGCAGATGCTGGTGCTGCAGAGCGGCACAGAGCCGCAGCTGTGGAGGATGAGCAGGTCCTGGAGACACACCGTACAACAGGGTACTTAGTACTGCGCCATGTACTTGAACATTTAAGCTAGTAGGGGTCTTGCTGAATGTTTTCTACAAAGGTCAGACCCAGCAACTGCCACTGAGCATCTCAGTGAGCCAAGAACAGGGGCCATCTGGAACCCTGTGAATTCTGGTGGCCTCTTCTCTGCTAGGACTCCACCAGAGGGGCGGCCGCCACCCTGGCTCCAGCACTGCCTGGCTGAGGGGTTCTTATCCTGTGTGTACCTTGCTGTCCTCACATGTACATCACGCAGTAGCAAACTTCTTCCTGGGTAGGGGTGACCATGTTGAGCCCCAGCTTTCTCCCACTGTGTTTTTCTTCTCAAAAGCACATTTTATTTGCTTGTTTAACCTCAAGTATGTGGTTTTTGGTGCCATTTTACAGATGGAGAAACTGAGGCTCTGGGACGAAATGTGGTTGCCCAGCCTTTGGTAGGTGAGGATCCCTTTCAGAGTTTCCTCTCCTGTGCCCCAGCTTGACTGAAAGTGGTGGGAGGTGGATATGGCTTATTTGGAGGAGAGGTATTTGGGGACTCCTACCAGGTGTAAATAAACCATGTCAGCAAGTCTGGTCAATAGGAGGTGGTCCTGACCTGTTCCTGAGGGGTTCTTGGGGGCAAGAAGACAGAGAGACTGCAGGGGCTTTGCCATAGCAACCGTGGCTTCCTTACCTCCTGTGTGCCATCTTTCTGAAGGGTACAGTTGGCCTGAGCCAAGGAATCTCAGAGGAGGGAGCCAATCCTTGGCAGTCAGATGGTGTGGCCCTGGGATGTAGGGTCTGGACCAGATTTAGAAGGGGCCACATGTGACCTGATGTACTCAAGTCCTCCCAGGTCACAATGGAGCCCTCAGGAGGCCAGAGAAGGACCAGGCCCAGCAGGGTGACTTCCAATGGGACTTCGAGCCAGGCCTGTGAGCTGTGAGGTGTAGAGGGGGTACGGGGGCTTCCTGGAGGAGTGGTGTGAAGGGTTCTGGCTCTCATCTTCTGAGCCTGGGTACTGGACCCCGACTCCTTAAGCCCTGGGAATGTGCCTAGGATGCCTGAAGTTGGAGGCAGGCCACACAGGGCTGCACTGAGGCCTCATGTGCCCCATGGGCAGGTCCAGTACAAGGTGGTGCACTGATCCAAGCTAAAGGAATAAGAGAAGGGGCACATGGCCAGGAATGGGTGAGCTGTGAGGGACAGCCTGGACGTCACTGAGGACAGGTAGGGTTGAGATGGTCCCTGAGCAGGCAAATAGACCTAAGGGGTGGTGGGTGCAGTGAGTAACCAAGAGTGTGCAGCTGGTGGGAAGAGAGCCCTGCAGGGTCTCAGGGCTGCTCAAGCCTGCTGGAATTTCCAGAACTTGAGGCTGTCTCCCAGCATACCTCACCCTCAGCCCCAGCCCACTTCCAAGAAGGGGTTCCTTTAAATGCAAAGTTCTTTTCTCCCTGGAACCCCCACCCCCAGTCTCCTGGGTAGCCAGGTAAACAGAAGCCAGACTGACCTACCCAGTTACTGCCATGGCTTCCCCTTGCTCTGGGGACCTCAGCCCCAAAGGTCTGCCCCCTCCGCCTGTCACCACTCCAGGTAAGACACGAGGGCAGCAGTGGATGTGAGGGTGGGCATGTGGCATTTGGGTCAAGAAGTGGGTCTGCCTCCTCCCCATGCCACCATTTCAGGTGAGATGTGAGGGCAGCAGTGGGCACAAGGGTGAGCAAGTGGCATCCAGGGGGAAGACTGTGGCAGCAGAAGACAGTCATCCCACAGTCTCTCCCTGTGGTGGAGATGGGAGATCTGCATGCCACACAGCAGGACAGCCATAGCAGGACCAGCCAGGGTGGGGACACCCACCACTCCTAGGATCCTCCTCCTTCCTGGTCTCCCCAGGATACCCCCAGTGCTCCCTGGGGAGATAGCTAGTTCTTTATAGCAGCTCTTGGACTCCAGATAAGCAAGATCCTGATCCTAAAATCTCCTGCTCCCCAAACTCTGTATCTCAGGTCCTTGGTCATCCTGTGAAGGGGTGGCCACCCATCTACATAACAGCCACTGCCATTGCTGATCACTGACCCCTCTCCATCTCCCCCACCATCAGGCTGTGGCTCTCTTCCCTTCCTCAGCTCAGGTCCCTGGATGTGTTTCCCCCATCTCAGCAGCCACCCCTGGTTAATGCCTGCTCTGTGCTCAGCACTCTTTGGGGGGCCCAAGATCTTACCCAGGTCTGCACATACACCCCTCTCCAGGTTCTTTACCTGTCTGGCAAATCTCCAATGCCGGTCCTCCCTCCCTGCACTCACACAGCTGATAGAGTGGGGTTTGCACCTTTCCATCCTGACTGCTAGCCTGCAGGGCATCTCTGCCAGCCCCCTGCCTGTCCTAGTCTTCCCAGCTTTCCTCTCCTAGCAACAGCCCAGCACCTTCTCAGGGCAGCTGTGTCTGGCTCCCCCAGAGAAACCAAAGCCTTTGGAGGGGTGGATCACAGCTCAGGCACCTGCCCACCACACTGGCCTGCTCCTCACCAAGGCCAGCCTCCCTGCACTCTGCTCCTGTATTCCTTCTTTCCTGCTCATGTGTCCTCCAGAAACTGTCCCCCTCTAGATGGTGTCATGCTCTCTCTTTCCTTGGCCGTTCCCTTCAACATAAAAGCCTGCTGCTCTCCATCTTCTCTTGACCCTTCTTCTCACTCAGCAGCTGACCTCTTTCCCTGCTCCCCATTTACAGAAGAACTCTTCCAAAAGGTTATTTATCCTTGCTGTCTCCAAATCTTTCCCTCTCATTTGCTCTTGAACCCACTCTAATCAGGCTTAATTTCCAGCATTTTCCTAAAGTGGCTCTGGTCAAGGTGACCAATGACCTCCCTGCTGCTAAGCTTGAGGTCAGTTCTCAGGACTCATTTGACGTCATGCATCAGCAGCACATGATTCAGCTCCCCTCAGGCTTTTAGAAGCCCCCACACTGCCTTGACACTGCCTTTTCCCTCATTCTCTTGCTGGCTCTCATGACCCTGACCTGGTAAGGACAGAGGGCTCTGGGCTCTGTTCCTGGAATGATCTATTTCTAGCTTACTTCCCTGGTGATTTCAGCCAGGTTGAAGGCTCTATATGCCATCTCCCAGTGTCTGTCTCCTGCCTGGAGACTCACAGATCCTTTGTGCCCATTCCTCACCTAATGGCATTGACATCCAAAATTAAACTCCAGACTCCCCCAGCCCCATCTGCTCCTTCTCCAGCCATCTCTGTCTCAGAAAATAGTGCCTTCTGTCTTGCAGTTGCTCAAGCTAAAACCCTCATTGTCTTCCCTCCTTTCTTGTCCTTCCATCATCTGCACATCAGCAACTCCAGATGTATTTATTCAAGACATCTAAGCACTGCTTACACTGTTCCAACCCCAACCTTTCTCATCTGTGCCACTGTTCCCTTGTCACACTGGCCTCCTTGTGCTAGCCTTACCTCCTCCACCTCTCTGCAAGAGAGCCACCACTCACCCAGGGGCAAGCAAACAGGGCCATCACTTTGTTCATGTCCAAGGCTGTGATACAGTGAGGCAGTACAGTGACCCTCTCCCTTCCGTGGGAACCACCCCAACTTCCTTCTTCTCCAAAGCTTCACTGTCTTATAACCAAGAACCGTACTCCAGGCCCACCCTATCTACCTGTCCCATCAACTGGTACTGTGTGGCACACCAAGCCAAGGATTCAGGCTGCAAAAGCAGGACTGAGCCTCCAGCCAGTCACCAATTTCCAGTCTGTCTTGCTGGGAGGCGGTAGTTAGCGGACAGGGCAGTCTTCAGCTGGAAGCCTGGTCCCACTCATGCAGGAGGTTCCCATCAGCACTGACACTGTCCATGTTGCTGAGACCACCCGGTGCTGTGCTCAGTTTGGGTGGAAATAAAGTCAGTTTTTAATATTTTCTAGAAACGGGAGCAAGCTCATAGAAGGTAAAAGCCTGGATTAGGGTCCATGGGAAGGCAGACTGCTCCAGCCCCAGAAGTGCTGACATTACTGGAGAGCACAAGGACTTGAGTCTTGTGGCTTATGGTTGCAATCAGTGCCTAGGACTGGCCCAAGGAGCATGTTAGTGCAGGGAAGGATCTCTGGGGCAGGCTGTGACCTGCAGGAAGTGATGACCAGCCAAGATTTTTAGTGCAGGCACCTCAGACAGCTTCTCTGGACCTTGCACCTCACAAGTCAGAAAGCTGCATAATGCCACTTCTGGTGGGGCTCTGGGAGAAGGACCTTAGACTGGCATAGCTCCTACTTCCCATTTCTTAGGCCTTCCAGCCCTGCCCATTCCCTGGGAGTTGTCTGGTTTTCTGTGTCCACCTTGGTGTCCCTGTGTCCACCTTAGTGTCACTGTGTCCCTCCCTGGAGCTTGTGCAGAAGGAGGACTTAGAGTTGCATTGCCTACTTCAGTATTCCCAGAGCTAAGCACATTTGATGAAAGGAGATACAAAACATATCACAAGCAGGGTGTGCACCAAGAGCCATGTCCAGGCTGCTTTGGAGAGTCATGGATGAGCTCTGAGGATAGGACCTCCAAGCCAGGACAAGTGCTGTGGGCATGTGACTCTGAGTGGGTGTTGGAGTTCACCGGACCCATGTGTGACTATCAGAAAAGCCACAGATCTAAAGCCTGCTCCTGGAACAGGATCACATACGTGGCTCTTAGCCTGACTCTGTACCTTCACGTGGCTGCTGTCCTGGCAAGGCCAGCTATTCAGACTGGGATCTGGGCAGTCGCTCTTTCTGCCTCTGCTCAGGAAGCTGGGCGGCCCTCCTCACCCTTACTATCCATGGTGTGTTGCACAGTCCATGCTCTGCGTTCAGAGTCCAGAACAGATTTTAACTGAGTGACTGTTTCACCTACTGTCCCAAATGCCTCTGTCATGAGATAGATCTCAGCATCTTGTACTTGCTAAGGAGTCTCTGTACCACCATGGCCTTCTCAACCAGGAACTTTCTACCTAAATAATACTCAGTGGCACACCTTTTCTGGTGTTCAAGACCCTTGGTGATTTATGGGTGCTGTTCCCTGATCGTGAAGTGGCCAGCTGTGAGCACTGCCTTTCTACATCTGGGGGGCTCTTCCCGATTCCCCACCTATGCGTCCTGTTTCCACTGTGGCAGTCACTGCCCTGCCTCACTTTCCCTTCCCTCACCAGCCGCAGGTCCCCCCGTGCTCCAGGAGCCCTGCTTTCCAGACATCTACAGCGGGGACAAACAGCTCTGGGAGGCGCACTTCCGTGGCATTGGTCGCGCTTATCGCGCGCTAGGCAAGGAGGACGACTTTGCCATCCGCGTGCTGACCGAGGACTTCACGCTGCCTTTCCCGTTCTCATGGCCGCCTGGGCCCGACCCCGCCAGCGGGCCGCTCTTCTACGACCCGCGGGACCGCACAGGCTTCGACTTCCTGTTGCGCGGCCCTGGCGCCCAACCACCCCAGCTGCTGCGGCCCCTGCACGCCACAGCGCAGGCGGCAGCGCGCAAGAGGCGCCTGGAGTACCTGGCGCGCAGCTACGCGCGTGCGGGAGCCGGCCAATCTGGTCTCGTACTGCTGCCGCCCGGCCCCGCCGCAGCCTTTTCGGGCTCCAGGCAGACCGCTCCGGCCCGCGACAATGAATAAAGGCTATGCTTCTCCCTCCCTGAGCTGGCTTGCTATGCGCACCCGGACAGGCACTATGCTGGTTGGATCCAGGGGCCAGGCAGGGCGGGGTGGACAGGGAGGTGGGCTGTGATCTCAGGTGGACACCAGGCCAGCCCTGGTCAGAGACTGGACGGGAGACCCACATGTCTCTTAAATGTGTAGTGAGTGCCTGAGCATAATGGAAAGAGTGGTGGAGACAGGCTAACCTCTGGAGAGCAGAGGGGCAGTCGGAAAAGGACTGGTGTGGTGGGCAGAGGTGGTTTTTCCATCCTGGGCCCACTCTCTGAGATCTTGCCCCGACTCTGGGGGCATGAGCAGGATGAGGGGGAGCATCCCATAGAGGAGGACACTGAGGTCCCTCTTGTATGGAGCAGTGTGGTCTGATTTCATCCCCAACTAAGTTTTGCTTTTTCAGTTTCCATGGTGACAGCATGGGGTTGGGGACAGGGGATGGGGGAAGGGCAGAAAGGACAGAGTGAGCCGTCTCACTGGCTCTGCATCAGGCCTGCCATATTTCCACCTGCTGGGGAGAGAGGTGCTCCTGCATCTCCTTATGCAGGCTGAGAGAAACTGTGGAGCCTGGGATTGCACAGATGACCAAGTTCCACCCTGTACAGGTGACAAACCCTAGCCAGGGGCACAATGATCCTGGTGGCTTCTTCTTTCCACAGTCAGCAGGGAGACCAAGAGGCCTAAGGGCAAGATGTCTGTCAAAAGGCCTGGACCTCGTTTTTGCAAGGGAGCTGGGCTCCAGGTATCTAGAAACTCAGGGACTGGAGTCCATGTCCCAAGTACAATGGAATCTGAGCTTTTCTTCTTTTTCTAATCTAGGAGTTGTATTTATTTATTTATGGCTTCTCATTGGTGGTGAGAAAAGTGTTTCCAAACCACTGATTGGTTTTGCTGGAGAACTAGCTGGAGAGGCAGTGTCTGTCTCTGCAGAGAGAAAAGGCCAGAGCCGAGGCTTCCTCCTTCCCTCTCCTCCAAAGTTTCTTGCCCTAACCTAGATCTCCAGACCCTGCTCCAGCCTCTTCCCCATGATGAAATTGTCAGTAGTTTAATAAGGCGTCCACATAGTTACCCTGTAATGATAATCATGCACTTGATTTTGAATGGCATGTTTTGTATTTTATTTGATGTCCTATGTTGCAGGGGTCCCCAAACCATGGGTTGCACAGTAGAAAGTGACTGAGCGAAGCTTCCTTTGTATTTACAGCCAATCGCCATTGCTGCTCTCATTACAGCCTGAGCTCTTCCTCCTGTCAGATCCATGGCAGCATTAGATTCTCATAAGACCTGGTCCTGCTGTGAATGGCACATATGAGGGAATCTAGGTTACATGCTCTTTTGAGTCATCCTGATACCATCAGCTCCCAGTGCTGTCTGTGGAAAAATTGTCTCCCACAAAACTGGTCCCTGGTGCTGGTTGGTGCTACTGCTCCCTTATAAATGAACTCTTTTGGTTTCCTAGAAATAGTCCCTAAACATGGGTTTGAATGGAAGGGTTGATTGGGAGGGGTCATCCTTAGAAACATGGATGGGGCACTGAAGATTAACAGGCAGGAAAGAAAGCCAGTAATGGGGGGATATAAGGCAGGGTGCCCCAGGGGTCACCTGGAAGTCAGTAGTCCTCTTGGGCCTCTGGAAGCCATAGGGGAGTACAGTATGCCTCAGAATACCCTACCTGTCCCACCCCAGAAGCAGGAATGTGCCTCACAGTCCTCCCTCACACTCCAGTGTTAAACTCTCTGTCATCACAGCAAGGGCCTCCCAGGGACAGCACCCCTTGGCAGGTCAGCCTGCCCTGTGGGCATGAGAATATACACCTTCCCTACAAGCAGCATTAGTGAGAAAAGTCATTTTGAAAACTATAACAATTTGATAGAGTAATTTGATGATTGTGGAGTATTATGACAAAAATTTGGGGTTTGTGATTTTTATTTTATTTTTTGCTTCATTTTCCTAGAAATTTATTATTACAGTAGTTCACAAGAGCATGAGTCTATAGATCAGAAACTACTAATTTGAGAAGCATTGGTCTAAGGCACCAAGACCCCAAGCAAGTAATCAAATAGAAAAATAGACATAGAAAATATGACCTGCGCTATGAAGAAAATGAGTATCCATTAGCCGTGTTTGAACAGGGGATCCGAAGTGGCCTCTCAGAAGAGGCAGTGTGCAAGTTAAGAATGGACAAGTGAGGAGTCAGCTATGTGGACATGGGGTAAATATTATAGGTAGAGGAGATAGTGTAGGCAAAGGCTGAGCAACTGGAAGGACCCTAAAGAAGGGCCTGAAAGCTAGAGCAGAAAGATAAGAAGTTTCATGACTTAAACCAAAGAAGAGACTGAATGGCTTAAGTAGTGGAATATCCAGAAATAAAAAGAGCTTCAGGAAAGGTTTGATCCAGAGGTTCAGAGTCATCCTGGAGGCCCTGCCTTCCATCATGCTGGTTCTGCCTTCAGATTGGCTTTCCCAGCCATGGCAATGTGGCTGTGTGAGTTAGCTTTCCATCACTGTGATTTAGCATCCAACAATAATAATTTAAAGAAGAAAAGGTTTATTTTGGCTCATGAATTCAGAAGTTGTGGTTCAGGTCGGTTGGCTCCAAGACAGGACATCATGGTGGAAGGTTTTAGTGGAGTGCAGCTGCTTACCTCATGGCAACAAGGAATCAAAGAGGGAAAGGAAGGAACCATTGAGAAAGGGGTTGGGACCAGATCAAGTGCCTGTGCTCTTACTCTCTCTTCCTAGACCGCACCTCTGTTTGCATCACCCCCAACAGGTCCATCACATTGTGAGCTCATCAGCCTCATGATTCCATCACTTCCCAAAGCCTGTCAGCATCCAAGCCTTTAGCTCATGAATTTTGGGGGTCATTTCAAATCCAAACCATAATAATAGTGGAGGCATTGCCTAACTTTACAGTCTCTCCTAGCCTTGAGAAGAGCAGAGGCCACTGGCTTCCAAGAATGGTTTTAGAATGAGCAGCCCTATGGGTCCTGTGCCCATTCTTGACCAATCCCTATAGCTCAGGTAGCACTAGACACTGACTGGTGTAGTCTTGTGGCACTGAGCCAGTCCCTTTGGTAGGATGACTGGGATTGGATTGTGGCAATAAGGCACAGGACACTTTGATGTCCACAGCCAGGGAGGTGAAGCGCCAGCCTTTGGCTCTGGCTCCAAAGCTAGCTTCTCTGCATCTCATGCCTCCCCTCCTAGTTGGACTCACTGTTCCCAGAGAGCAATATGGTTTGAAGTAGCCAAAGGTTGGGGCTCTGCCTTTTGTGTCAAGCACAGTTCAGCATCTGTCTGCAGAGGATGACTTCTCCTCTCTCAAGGAGCTCTTTGAGCATGGCGGGAGGTATCAAGATGGTGTTCATGGCTCCCAAGACAAAGCCTAGGTAATTCCCTGGTCCTCAGTTTCTCCTTCATTGCACAGGGAGAGCCAGGTGACCCTCACATTACCATTTCTGCCATAGCTGTTAGGTGCTCAAACTTTCCCCAAGCATCATCATCTGGGATGCTTTTCTCCTCTCTGGCATTGTTACTTCTTGTTGCTGTTTGGCTTTTATGGCTCACAATGCCTGGGCTGTAAGAATGAGTCCAAATTATTTTTGGAAACTGGAGGAAATCATCATCTTCATGAAGTCATAAGTCCTGGATCTGGATGGTGACACTCCTCCCCACCTTCTTCCTACTGACTTGCTAGAAGACTCTGCTGTTTTTTTCTGAGCAAGGCCAGGAGTCTGTGCTGAATGTTGTGAGCATAAACAAATGGCCCAGCCCAGGTTTTCAGAAGCTGGCCTTGAATGCAGGTCCTCTACCATCTTCTACCATGGACTCTATAGCCCACCATCACTGCTGCTTTTGAGGGTTTTGGATCCTCAGCTGAAAACAAGGATGTGTGAGGTAGTCCTGGTCAGGCCTCTGGGCCCTTGCCTAGCATGGGGACAGCCGACAGAGAGAGGGCAGCTGTTTCCACAGCTGTCTACTCTCTGTCTGCCCTGCTCAGGCTGGCTCAGCGGCCTTCCTGGGCTGAGAAGGCCATCCGCTTCTCTTCAGTGCCAGATTGCCTCAGCTGAGACAGAAAGCTTAGGAGTCAGAAGCTCACTGGTTCCTTCCGGTGGCACCTGTGTGTCCTTGAACAAGCTCTCGGCCTTCCTGTGACGTGATATCCACACTTGTAAGGTCTCAAGCTGGGATGCCTGCCTGGATTGGGTTTTGTAAGCAGTGTCCTCTGTCTTTGTTGGGAGTTGGCCACACTTCCTCTACCTGGTGGTGTAGGGGCCCTGGAGTCCCGGGTGGGGTGTCTGTCTTATCATTGTCACTGTGGCTTGCACGCAGCAGGTACTCAACTAGTGTTTCCTGAATATGCCAAATGAACAGAGGAGCAGGCACCCAGAGACCCATCCACTCTGGGCAGAAGAAGGGCTGGAAGATGAAGGAGTCTGGGAAATTCAGAATCTTAAGACGGGGTTTCTCTTGTCCTTTGGTGTCCAGAGGAGGCAGGTGCCCCCTTTGGTTTCTGGGCTGCTGAGAACACGGGGTTGAGGCACTCCCATCTTCAGTTTCCTTGGGAACAGACTCTGAGGCGTGGCAGGGATGTTTAATTAATTGCAATTACAATCTTCAAAGGAAGCCTGGAGTTGAAAGTTGTTCCTAATTACTGTGTTATGATGTCGGCTGGCTCCCCAAATTGATTGTGTTAGATTTTCCAATACAGGATTAATTGAGTTGCAGAGAGGACCCACTTACATCCTTCTGCTTAAGATGCAGTCCATATTTGGCTGGGCGAAAGTGAGCTGGCTGGAACGGCAGTGAGGATGGGGGTGGGGCAGAGGGGGCACTACGGCCGGATTGGAGACCTCACTGCCAAGACTGAGGCTAAGGGTGCTGGCTCTGGGAGCCAGATGATCACCAGGGAATCAACAGTTCAGTTCACCAAGGGTCCCACTCTGGCCTCTAGTACTTCTAGGGTAGGGGTGCTCCCC